TCATTTGAGTTTCCAAAAAATGCTTATCTTACAGTTTCCATGTATGAAAAAATGGTTGTCTTACAATTTTCGTTTATGAAAAAATGTTCATCCTACAATTTCCATATATGAAAAAATGTTTATCCTACAATTTCCATATATGAAAAAATGTTTTTTCTACAGTTTCTATATATGAAGAAACGCCTTCCTAGAGTTTTTTTTTTACAATTTTCTGAGTCTATGAAACTGTAAAAAAATTGTAGGACAAGCATTTTTTTATTTATGGAAATTGTAGGATAAGCATTTTTGGTCAACCCACGCTAAGATGCAGTTGAAATACTATCTACAATTCAAAAAAAGTGCTTAACCGTTCCCAAATAGAGCAATATTTTTTTCGATGTCTTGACCAAAAACAATGTGAGCGACTTTTTTCAAATGCTCGAGCAAAATAACCACTGGAAAATATGTAAGATTTGAACGGTTTGAGCGGTTTTTCTAGACAATTACGCTCAAAATCTTGCTTCAAAATGAGCGGTTTTTGAACGGTTTATCTAAAAAAAACCACTCAAAAACCGCGCAAGATTTGAGCGGTTTTTTTAGACAATTACGCTCAAAATCTTGCTTCAAAATGAGCGGTTTGAGCGGTTTTTGAACGGTTTATCTAAAAAAAACCGCTCAAAAACCGCGCAAGATTTGAACGGTTTTGAGCGGTTAATCTAAAAAAAAACGCTCAAAAACCGCGCAAGATTTGAGCGGTTTATCTAAAAAAACCGCTCAAATCTTGCGCTGTTTTTTTTTAGATAAAACCGCTCAAACCGCTCATTTTGAAGCAAGATTTTGAGCGTAATTGTCTAAAAAAAACCGCTCAAATCTTGCTTCAAATTAGGTGAAAAATCTCGACTCGGCAAGTTCATTAATTTTTCACTACTTTTTTTCGAGGCCAAATTAAGTCTGTCTGTCTGTATACCTGCTTTTTAAATTAATTTGATTATGTCTTTCTACCCGTCGCCTAATTTTTAAATTTTTTCTATTATTTATCTATTATATATTTAAATGCGGGCTTCACTATCTCGCCAAGCTTTTTCAACGTATTATTTTTGCATGTTTAAGAAATGAATTTTTTCACGTTTAAGATATATCGTATATTGCAATGGCTAAGGTTTTTTTTTTTTCAATTTTCCACTTTAAATTCCGGCTTTTTCCATCAAGTTTGAAATTAGCAACCCAATAGTAGGATATTGTCAGAGTTTTCCCAGGTTTTGCGATTCTGGCCTCTATATATGAATAACCAAATACTTTTACTTTACGAGATAAGCAATTTTCGAGGTTTTTCAAAAAATTTCCTGAAAATTTAATTTTTAAAAATTTCTCAATTTTTGAAATTCTAACCCTGTAGTTGGGTACTGTCAGGGTACTCCAGGGGTTGCGAATCTTGCCTCCAATTCTCACTTCTCAAATCCTTGTAGTTTTCGAGATATGACGTTTTTATGATTTTTTCAAAACATTTTCAAAAACTTGGATTTTAAAAAGTTCCAAAATGTTGAACATCTCAATCCTGTTGTTGGATATTGTGAAGGTACTCTCAGGGGTTGCGAATCTTGCCTTTGATTTTGGCTGCTCAAATCCTTGTAGTTTTCGAGATATAACGTTTTTTTTTTCAAATTTTTTCAGAAAACTTAGATAAAAAATTTCACAAAAACTTGAAATTACCATCTTTGTAGTGAGGCTCTGTCAGGGTACTCTCAGGGGACTGCTCCAATTCTTGTAGTTTTCGAGATATGACGTTTTTTAAGATTTTTTCAGAAAACTTAAATATAAAAAGTTTCGCAAATTCTCATCTCTGTAGTGAGGCTCTATCAGGGTACTATCAGGAGTTGCGAATTTTGCCTCCCAATATGACTGCTCAAATCCTTGTTGTTTTCGAGATATGACGTTTTTTATGATTTTCTCCGAAATTAAAAAAAAAAACCTAAATGTTAAAAGGTTCCAAAACTTTGAAGATATCAATCCTGTTATTGGAATCTTTGAGGGTACTCTCAGGGGGTCGCGAATCTTGCCTCTGTATAGGACTGCTCAAAATCTTGCAGTTTTCTAGATATGACGTTTTTTTGTGATTTTTTCAAAAAAATCTTCATGAAAATAAAATTAATTTTTTTTCAAAGTTTGAAATTCCTAATTTGTTGTTGGGGGGCTGTCAGAGTAATCTCAGGGGTTGCAAATTCGGCCTCCAATTAAGAATGTCCAAATCGATTTTTAAAGAGATAAGACGATTTTTGTGATTTTTTTTGGAAATTTACAGAAAACTCAAATTACAAAATAATTCGTTTAAGTGAAATTCCCAACCCTGTAGTTGTGTACTTTCAAAGATTGCGAATATTGCCATCAAAAAAGACTGCTCAAATTTTGGCTTTTTCGAAATGTGAATTTTTTCTGGTTTTCAAAGAAAATACCTCTTTTAGAAAAATTAAGGTGAAGTTTCTCAAAGTTTGAATTTCCCAACGTTGTAGTTGGGTACTGTAAGGGTACTCTCAGGAGTTGCAAATCTTGCGTCCAATTGCGACTGCTCAATTGCTTTCAATTTTCCAGATGTGACGTTTCTTAATTCAATATTAACTTAGATATGAAAAAAATTGTCACAATTTTTTATGGTTTTTCAAAATTTGAATTAAAAAATCGAATGAAAAATTTTACAAAATTTGAAGTTACTCTCAGGAGTTGCAAATCTTGCGTCCAAATGCGACTGCTCACTTGCTTTCAGTTTCCCAGATGTGACGTTTCTTAGTTCATTTAAAATTTTAAACTTATATAAAACTTCACATAATTTTATGGTTCTTCAAAGTTTGTATAAAAACTTTGCAAAATTTTTAATTACGAACCCTGTAATTGGGTGCTGTCAGAGTACACTCAAAGAATAGTTTTTGAATTGTAGACAATTCGGAGCACCGGAGGTGCGGTACACGCTAGTTGGCTTGAAATTTCAAATAAAACTACTATCACTTAGCTAGTAATTAGTTCAAGCCAGTTTCAGGTTTTAATTATCTTTTCAAGAAATATTTCTCGATTTTTTTTTGGTTCCTGGTTTTTGTCATAGCTTCTGTCGGTTCAATTTCCGTTTTTGTTAAATGCCCTTTTTGGTAGGGTTTTTATTGGACATACCCAACTTGAACAGTTTTTACTATAACTGAAACTTCACAAATTTGTAAATTTACGATGTCTGATTATGAGTTTTTTTTTTTCGTTTTTTTTTGTAAATGTTCGAACAATATCAGTGTTTTTTATATCGACTCAGTCATTTTATTTTGCGTAATTTCAAGAGCAAAATATCGGTTTGGGGTTGTGTATCAATTTGGATGGGTTGTAAAAACTTATAAATTTAATCAATTTTTTTTATGAGAACAGTTTTGTTTTAGGCTCAACGGACTTCGACCCTAAGTTTGTCGCCTTTGTTATCGCTCGGCAGAGGCGCAATTTGGGGGGGGCGGTCGGACGCCCCCTCAGGGATTAGACCCCCTGCCGACCAAAAGGGTCCCCCCTACGAACTATTTTGAGATATCCATTTTTAGCTGACGGAACCCAAAATTTTTTTAAACGCGCCTTTGGCACCAATATATATTAATTTTAAGGGGGGAAGCGCGCGCCGAGAAAATGCGATTTTTTGGTAAACATTTTCCTAAAAGTACCTAAAAACGCTTTTTGGCATGTTTTTTTTTTCAAATTTTTGCCTGCGGCGCAGAAACTTTGGCCTAATATTTTCCCTTAATTTAGTTGTTTTTAAAATTTCATGTTTTTGAGAAAATTTACTGCATGTGGTCAAAACTGCTATGTTCAGAACCTGACAAAACAGATGCAAGTCTTTGAAACAAAATATGAACGTTTCATGGAGGATAGCTTAAATGAGTTGCCTCCGGTCGATGTAAAAATTGTTTAGTTTCTGAGTTTGGTTTCTGTTGTCCAAAATGGTTCTCTTAAACAGGAGTTTCAGAGAATAAGAAAAGGAATTTGTGTTTTGATTTTTTTTGGACAAAATTAAACAAAAGTTCAGGTTTTTAATCTCTAAAATGCTAAATTTTCTGGACCATTTAAAACAAAAGTTTTAACAAATTGTACATCGATCGACAGCGAATGATCTGAACTACACTCTCTGATAGTCTCAATTTTTGATTTGAAGCACTTTCCTTATTACAGGTCTAAAAATGCTAGATTTCACAATTTGTTTCTAATTGTCTATGGAAGTGCACACTTTTTCGAAAAAGTGGAGTTGAAAAAGTTGATCATGCAATATGAAACATTTTAGAAAATTGTATCGTTGAGAGAGACAACTTTCCTCTGCTCTGTTGTTTCCCCATATTTTCTCACCTTTGGAAAAGTATATACAATTAGTAAAAACTAGAATAATTTGTTAAGTGCTTCAAATCAAAAAGACTTTCAGAGAATGTAGTTAAGATCATTCGCTGTCGATCGATGTACAAGTTTTGTTAAAAATGTAATTAAGTACTATGCAAAATGGTCCTTAAAATTTAGAGGGTAAAATGTAAATTTGCGTTAAATTTTTCCACTATAGATTTTGTTTATAAGAATCATGAACCTTGTGAATACTGTTAAATAGGTCGTAAAAAATGTTTCTGAAAATTGATTTTTCGCGGCTTGAGTTTTGATGTCTTTTAAGTGCAGTTCATTTTCCTTGTGAAATGAAAAGTAAACTTCACTAACGAAAAGCAAAAGTGTAAAGGTCACGAAAAGTTGATCGATGTCTAGTTTTGAAAGTGGATTTGATTTTGCAGATTTCGAGCTGAATCGAAATATTACCAAGTGATCCAGTCTTCTCTAATTCGGTTTATTTTAGCAAAAAGTGGTTATCATAAATTGTTCGTGAACTTCATAGAGTCAAATTGAGAGTCAAATGTCTTGAATTTCGGAAGTTGAAGTTTTTTTTACAAAAAACAGTCCGTTTTTTTTTCTGTTCCTTGCGTTCATCTACTCTTTTCTAACTGTCTGTTGGCTATGTTTGTATTGCTGATTAGGATTCAATGCCACAGGCAGCAGCGCCTCCAATCAGTCCTATACTAACTACTCTGAAGGCAGCTCATCGAAATCTTCTACTTTTAACTCTAATAGCGGTAGTATCCAGAAGTACAACAAACCCTACACCAGAGACTACCAATCAGGATCGCGTGACAACAGTCGCTATTCGAACAAAAGAAGTGTAACTGGCTCGAATAGTCACCCTGTGTCTTACAACAAAACCCTAACAGGAGGCGACAGTTCTTCGGAATATAAGAACAGCTCATCGTCATCGTCGAATCGGGATAATGCCGGCAACAATAGCGGAAGTTTTTCGACATTCGGAAGCCCGTCTAAAGTGGGCTATGTTCCCTCAGATAAAAGTGGGGCTTACTCTAGTGAAGTTGGAGGTAGCTCCAGAATCACGTCTGGATCTTCGTCTTCAGGAAGTTATCAGAGCCAGAGTTCTGGAGGAGGTGGCGGCAGTAGCAGTGGAAGTGGATACCAGAGGGCTAGCAGCGGTGCTGGTGACAGGAGTGTTGGGATTCAGGGCAGCGGTGGCAGTTCTTCGTCGCAGTATATTCCGAGAGGACCGTTGCACTACTGTGATGTGTGTAAAATTAGCTGTGCGGGACCCCAAACATATAAAGTAAGTATCATGATCTTGCTAAAAGTCAGAAAGGCTCAAAAGTAAGCTCATGTTGCAAACCTCGTTTAGAAGTAAACTCCCAAAAAATGCTTGTGGTCACAGGAAAAATTCAGCCAAATAAACATGTTAATTAAAATAATTAGAGGAGTATTTGAACTTAACTGCCAATCGGAGATATGTGCAAATTTGTCATTTACGTAACTTCTAAGATTTTTCTATTCAAGATGAACATTTTTCCGGAAAACTCCCCTTCTTTATTGGCAATGTCATTGAGCTTTAGGTTTTGAGTGACCGCTCGACTGGCCTAAAGATAAAGCTCGACTAGCATAAAGTTTGAAAACATGAAAATGTATCGACTTGCATAATTTTCTATAGCTAAATTTCTCAGAAATACAAAACGAACAAAAAAGAATCCTTTCAAACTGAAACTTGCATTACAAACATAAAAATAGAATCACTCAGAAATTAAAATCATTCAGCAAAATGAAAGTTCGTTGTCACAAATTGGATCAGTCATACCCCGACCCATAGGGGCAGATTTAGAGAGGGGCTGGGTTGGGGAGCGTACACTCACCCACCCCACTCCCCCTCAACGATTCGAACCCCTGCCGACCCAAAGGGCCTCCCTTGGTAGTTACTTAAAGAAATCCTTTTAAAGAAATCCTTTTAAACGCCATTTTTGGCCTGTTTTTTCGCCTGAAAATGGCCTCCTACCTCAATCCTATATCCACATCTGCCCTACTTGAAATGGCTTGAAACGAACTCTTAAATGTGAGGAAAATGTGATTAAAATATGAGGAAAAAACTGTGATTTATATATGGTTTTTGGGATCTCTTTAGCTACCCCCCCCCCCCCCCCATTTTGCAAAAGAGGGATTCGTTTCGCATATGATTAACCGTTAAATTATTCCCATTAAGGTATGGCCTGGGGAGAAAGAGTAAATTTGGGGGGGGGGGGGACGAGAACGTGGGGGGGGGGGGGGGGGGGAATTAATCGATTAAACTCCAGTGCGGGAATTATTTGGTTCTTGTTCATCGGGGATAGTTAACAAGATCCACTAATTTTAATTTAGACAACATTTGAATATTACAATGTTTCGATTTTATGCTAGTCGATACGATTAAAATTTTTAAAACTTGTATGCTAGTCGATACGCCGTCCGGTTTTGACCATGGTTAAGTTCGGTCATAGCAAGATTTCAAATCCAGCAGTTTTGGTCGGCAGATTTTACGACATGCTTTTACTTTAAAATTTTTTCACTGTTTTAAAGTTGTGGTTGTGAATTAATTTTTGTGGTAATGCCATTCTAAACCCCAGAAAAGTTAATAAGGAAAAATTAACAAATTTTGCCTTTTTTCATCCATTAGAAAAGTATTGCCATTTTATGTGCCCAGACATTTCTGTCTACCCGAACTCTCTGGTAGTCAAAGAAGATGACATCAAACCGAAACTCTGTTTTGAAAACTGATTGGTTGTATTTCTCTTTTTCTCATGTATGTTTGGAGATATAATTAATTCAGGAGCATCTGGAAGGTCAGAAACACAAGAAGAAAGAACAGCAAATCAGAGCTGGAGTGGTTTCGGAATCAGGCTTGCAGTCTTCGTCTCAGCAGGTGCAAAATGTAAAGCCAGGCCAGAAGACATTCTACTGTGAGCTGTGCGATGTGACCTGCACAAGTGCAGACACTTACAATGCACATGCACGGGGTGCAAAGCATGTGAAATGCGTGAAATTGTACCAGAAGATGAATAAACCGATTCCTCCGGCTAAAGAAATGATAGTAACAGCTATGGGGGAAGAACCAACAGTCGTGACGCATAAGCTGAACCAGGGAAGAAATAATACAGGGGGAGCAAGGTTTGGCAGTTCGGGCGGATCTGGAGGATTCGGAGGTGGTTCAGATTTTAATCAAGGGGGAACTGGCAGGAATAATGCGGCGGGAAAATCATATGGGTATGGAGGAAGCGAGAAAGAGTCGACCACTGCGTCGACAACTCTAAAAGGGTAATTATTTTTGATTTGTCAATAAGGGTATTCAATGATCTTATATAGATCGTGTTGAATTTTTGTGATCAGGCTGAACTTTGATTTTCTCGCAGTTTGAGTTTTGATTTCTTTGTAGTAGTGAGTAAGAGAGTAGTTGTGAAGTTGGTTGCGTAATTTTATTTGATTTTATAAATTTTTGTTTCGACAAAATTTTTAAATTTAAGCCCACTACCAAAAAGTTATGAAAAAAAAGAACTAAGATTTTGTCGAAACTTGTCAATAGCTTTTGAATGTTTCTGTTTCAAGGTTATCGTCCAAAATTTCATCTCCATCTGCGGTACCTAAGCACGTTGAGACACTGACAACCACGACTTATGTGGAGGATGGCTTACTGAAGGTAAAAAAAACCCTTTCCAGCCCACAGGACAACAAATTATAGGCTATTCGGTTACAAACAGGAGCTTCCATTATTTTCATTCATAAATTGCACACGGATAAATGTGAACGCAATACGAAGTTTTTTTTAAAGTATCAATGTATGTAGTGAAGACGCTTATACAGGTGGTGTTGACTTTTTTTCAGAGAAGTTTGAGCGTCGAACGTCTGCGCGTGAACGAGCGAAAAAAATGGAATAATTTTTTTAGCAATTTGCCGTATGAACAACCAAGTTGAAACCAACATTTTACGATAATTTATAAGGGGATGGGAAACTGGTAAAGGAAGGGTAACTCTTGAAGAGCCTTTGGACTTTGTTGTATGATTTTTTATTATTATTTTTTAGGACGAGTGTGACCCTGAGCCGATCGGAGGCGAGTACATTGACGAACTGAGAGACCCAGACACGCACAAATTGATAGAGTTCAACTGCAAATTGTGCGACTGTAAGTTCAACGACCCATATGCCAAAGACATGCATCTGAAGGGAAGGAGACACCGCATCATGTACAAGAGGAAGGTCAACCCACAACTGGAGGTGGAGATCAAGCCAGGTCAGAGACAATAAGTGTCAATGATCGTAGTAAATATTTTTGTACATGTACAAGTCATGTTGATTTTTTAGAGACAAATTTTATTTTGCGCTGTGTGACTGTTGATTTCTTTTCAAGTATTCAATAAGGTAAATTACGCTCTGCAATTCTTGTGGTCAATAAAACCTTTTCAATCTGAAGGTAAGAGAAAAGCTGTTTGGATTTATTTAGGTTCTTCTCTTTACTTAGGTTTCCGTAACAAGAAGTTGATGGAGGACAGAGAGAGGAGCAGGAAACAGAGGGAGATGTTGCACCGGAGACTGGCAGAGGAGCACAACATGAGGATGCAGATGCGCAGACTGGAACAGGAACTCTACTTCCGAGTTCCAGCTACTTCAGGTATTTCTGATACTACTTAATAAACAGCACAGCAGTCGTAGCCGAGCGGGTTAGAAGAGCAGCCGTGGCTGAGTGGGTGAAACGCGCAGCCTTTAACACAATGGTGCCGCCTGGGTTCAAATCCGGCTTTGATCATGTTTGGAGGGGTCCCAGTGTCATCCGCCTCCTCATCCGCTGCGGAAAAATAGATGACATCTCTCTCCCCCACGGAATAAAGGGGGCCAAGGTTGAAAGGTGGGAGCTGGGCCGGGGGGAAATAAAAAACTAAACAGCACACCTTACTTACTCCACAGCTACTCGTCACAACCACCCTTGGATATTAGGAGTCATGTCTTACAGGGTCAATTCTGATTTCACAATAATTTAATTTACGTCCTTGAAATAAAAATCGGACCATAAGCTGGAGTTTAGCTGGATTCGCTTCAGCTTTTGCTGTTAGAAATGTTCGAATATCATTTGAAGAATGTATCATTGTTGCTTCGTACTATAGCTTTGGTCCCATTACTGTTGAGTGCCGTTGCAGGACCCTCACTGAATAACGACAGTGCCGCCTGGGAGTCATGGGATGACAGACACATGTTATCCAAGCATAGCAGCATCTACCCCTCAGACGAGGAACTGGAAGCAGTCCAACTCATAGTGGGCAGGGCTGAGAAAGTGTTGAAAGTGGTGTCGGATAAACTGGCGCTAGAGGATATGGGCGATCCGGAGGTTAAACAGAGAGTTGAAGCCGCGGCCGCCAGCAAGCAGAAGAAAGCAACTAATACTACTGGAAGTGATGTTGTAGTCACTAGTTTAACTGAGTCAAGCAGCTCGGACTCGAAGGCAATGGAAAAGAATGCGACTGCAAAGTAATCAAACAGACAGAGTTAATTTTAATTAGCAATTTTTCTATTTACAGACTTTTTACTTGTGCAAACCTAAGAGATATTTTTTCTTTAAGCTCGTCATTATGCATAACTTCGATATGGTTTTATCAGAAAATAAATGAAATATGCCTGCCTCGTATATTTTTGTGCATGATTATTACCCTTGCGATAAGCAAGCGTGTTGCAACCGGGCACTAGATCTTTCCCCATAAACAGCTTTGCTTACACAGGCGAAGCGTAGTGTATTACTGCAAGGCATTTTTTTCAATACCTAAATCGCAAATATTAGTGCTACTTTTGGTGGTAATTTTGAAGTAGGCTGCTTTGGCAGCTTAATAACATGTGTTTTGACATCCGATATGTAATCAGTTAACAGAGTTGATGCATTATAATTTATTAAATGAACCGAAAAAAGCTATGTGTTTCATTATACAAGCGAAGCGTAGTGTATTATTTCGAAGAATTTTTTTTCAAATCTAGGTCGCAACTAAAACTGCTCATTTGGTGGCAGTTTTGGTATTCTTCAATTTAATCATATTTAGGCTTAATTATGCATAAACAATTGAATTGCATATGTTGCTGCGTTGTTTTTGTTTAGTGTTAGGTCCTATTTGAAAAAAAAACATGTATTATTAAAATGCATGGGATTTGTTGTTTGAGTTTTTTTGGCATATTTTGCAGTAGTTTCTTTTTTTTCAAACTACTGAACCGATTTTCAATTGATTTGAACAAATAGACAGAAAAATTGCAGAAGTCAATCTGGAAAAGCGAATGTGAACTCATTGAGATAATTGCTTATATGTAATTTTTATAGTTTCTCTTTAGGTCAATCATCATCAACGAAAATATATGCATTATATTCTACTTTATTTTCAAGTTACTATTATTTGTCGATTCCCGAGAAAGATAGATGATTTGGTATATAAGCTGCAGATAAAAAAATTAATCTCTTCAAAATCTGTATATAATCAGGATGAAATCTCTATATAATCTGTATAAAATCTGTGAATAACTGTAGATAATCTGTATATAGTAAATTAAAATCTGTATAGCCCATATAAAACTTCATATATAGAGACAAGGATAATGGGTTGCTGAGCAATCACAAAGAATGATCCGGCTACTGTTACTTAAAAAAATGAAAATTCAAAAACAAAAACAAACTTTTAGAAATCGGAAAAATGATTTAAAATGGTATCAATGAAAAAAGGGGTGCTCATCAATGTGCCTGCATAATTCGCTAGTCTGCTTTCATTTTACTTCACGTTCTACGGGCTTCGAAGGTTTGAGTAAGGGGATTTTTGGCCTACTTGTTTTGAATTTTTTCATTAATGTAAGTTATGCCTGTTTAGAGCTCGTTTTTGCATTCTCCTCGCTTGTGTTTGCGAAGCTTGGCTTAGCCTCTGTTTACAATTTTACAATAAAAAATCTTTATTTTAGAATTTTTCTAACTCAATATCTTCCGCGAAATTTTTGAAATGTATAATTTATACACAATTCTGCTTTGTAGTTTCTAATTTATTGCGTGCAATATTATTGTGGTTGCTTTTAGTTTATATTTGATGGTATTTTTGCTGAATAGGATTGGCAGTTTATTAGATTCTGTTGCTGCATTATTGGTGGCTAACGTTAGTAATTGTTCAAATGACCTGTGGCACATGCGAGGATACTAGACTCCTTATCTGAAGGTCGGAGGTTGGAATCAGTTATATAGCAAAAGTTTTATTATTTCAACTTTTCTTTTTTCTCTTTTTATAGCTACTTTTTTCGTTTTCTCACTGGTGTTTGCGAAGTGCAGCTTCACTTTTGTGTCACTGAATTCGCACGTGAAAATGCTACACGTGTGTTACTTGCTTTTTTATAAATTCAAATTCAAGAAGACTGTGCATTTGTCGCAGTGCTAACACTCATGCCTGAAGCTACAGAGGCCAAGAATTCGGTACCAGTGGGGACCTCTTTTTTGGAAACTGAAACTTTTGGCAAATTAGAAGCCGATAAACGTAGTGAAGACTCTTATATAGGTCTTGATTTTGTTTTCGTTTTTTTTCTTTATTCAAGTTTTTTGGACAAAGTCCTAATATGTTCCAAAGCTAAAAAAATTCATTCATGCATCTTAATGCATTGATGAATGAACTTAAATGTATGTGCATTTGAGTGCAATCCAGTTTTATTTGCTAAAAGTTAGGCTAAATGCGCTCACCAAATTGGAAATGATGCGAAAAAACATGAAGTACCTCCAGTTTTGGAAGTGAATTTAAATGCCAAGATTTCACAGCGAAAAAAATGTTAATCCCTTGATCCAGGTTTCTTAAATTGGGTTAAATTTATCAAAAAGGTGTCAACCATAAATCGTTGAAATTCAGAGAGCTTTATGGCGATATATATATTTTTGAAATACGCCAGTTAGTATGTTTTTTCTATTTCCTTGCGTTCATTTTGCTCGTTTTCAACTGTCTGTTTTTGTCGACATATTTCCCGCATAAAGGACTTTTTTGACAATTTTTTGAAGATTTTTTTTTCGTATTTTATTTGTTTTTCCATTTGCTTTTAAGCATAGTCATTCATTTTTGTATCGCAGTGGTGCGAAGCTCAGCTTCATTTCTGTATTATTATTATGATTGGTGTTATCAAGTGTTTATTAAAATAGTGAGGCGTTTATCGTCGTATTGGTTCTTTTCACAGAATTTTTGCAATTTGACTTGATTTGTTTTAAAATTTGAAAGCTAAGATTTTTTCAAAAAATAGTTCGTTTGCGTTTTTTCTGTTTACTTGCATTCATTGACTCTTTTCCAACTGTCTTTTGGGTTTTTTGTTTCTTTTTTTCTTTCGTTTTTGTCAGTGTTCTAGGCGTCAATGATTTCTTCCTTTTTTGCGTAAAAGAACGAAGTGATTTTCACTAATATTGGTTGTGATGATTTTTGGAAAAAGTCTTTTGAAATTTGTCCTCGCTCAAATTTGTTTTTCGCGGTTTGAGTCAATTTTTTGAGGTTACCTCATTTTATTTGTAAAAATGAAGGCAAACATTGAACCGCAAAAGTGTAAAGGTAATGAAAACGGAATTAATCGGGGTTTGGAAAATGAACATTAATTTTCTGTTAACTTTTGTATCGATTTCTTTGTTCTTAACATTTTTCCAACCCTCTGTTCGCTATGTTTTAATTAATTTAGCCGTTTTTGTTTCAGCGACGAATGCAATGCGGAAAGTGATAACACGAAGGCAGTTGAAGACGCGAGTTTGAGAATGAAAGAACTGGAAGAAAAGACAAAGGCAGATAATAAAACTCGTGAGTAGCTTTTATATCGAATTAAACAGTTTGCTGTGGCTATGCTTTAAGGAATCCTATTTAGACAGCTTGTTGTTCCGATCAATAACGATAGATTTTGAAGGATGTATGGCATAGGGGGATTTTTTCCCCGCGATTTCTGGTCTCAAAATTGCTTGTAAATGGTAAAATGTATGATTTTCGAAAATCCATTTCTAGGGAAATTGGTCTGAAAATTTTCTGTTTTGAGTTAACTTTTCAGTTTTCTTGTTGAGAGTGGTGTTGGATATTGTGGACTCAAAAGCTTATTTGAGCTATAATTTAATGTTCAAGTGTAAATGAATGTAGTGAAGACAACTTTTTTTAGCTTGTTTTCAAGGAAAAAGCCTTTTAATGCATGGTATAAATAAATAAATAAGTCTTTTATAATTAGACAAAAGCAAACGTTTCCAATTTTTCTGGACACTGAGAAAATATTTTGCAAATTTTGAAACGTCAATTGCCTCTCGACAAAAAGGGCTTCAGTATGTTCCATCATTCGACCCATTTTGATGATTATTTGTGGTACCTGATTTATCCTGATAAAAAAAAATTGAAAAAATTGAGACACATCTGAATACAAAGTTTCTCCCCACTTTCAGTGATCACTAGAAAAATTTAATTGTAAAATTTTTCATTCATCAAAAATTGGATACATGAAGTCAATTTCTCATTCAAATAAATCAAAGTTGAATTTGCCCTTTTCCACCGGAAGTCAAGGAAGATGTCGTTAGTCAATCAAAATCGAATCCCACATGATGGATTGGCTTTAATCTAGAATAGGTTTCAAATTCATCCAAAGTTTAAATTAAACGGTTTCTGATTATTCTGACCTCTCAAATTCGAGAACATATGCAAACTTTTACTTCGAACCAGTTCAAAAATGTGGCTTGTTTCAATCGGTAGTTCATTTCGGTTGTTTGTTTCAGACGAGATAGACAGTGCATATCGACAAGTGAAGGGTGTTATGCGAATAGGGGCTCTGGCCAAGGGACTGCTGTTGAAGGGGGACAAACTGGTGGAACTGGCAGTGTTGTGTCAAGACAGACCGACCAAGGCTCTGTTGGCACGCATGTTCAAATGCTTCTCACAGCAGATGGGTCAAATCACATCCGATAAATACAGTTATGAGGTACAACAGAATCGATCAATTACAGCTTGCTAGCCTGCGTTCGAGCTTGTCCTTTGACTGAATATAGTGTAAAAGAACAAAGCGATTGTCACTTAAATGGTTCTTGATGATTTTTTTACTGGAAAAATTCCTAATATTGATAATTTTTTCCCTAAATGGGGTAATTTTAAGAACAAAAATGCTCCTTGAATTTCAAGAATCATAATCAATTGTTGAAATTCAAAGAGCTTCAACGAGTTATAGATATATTTTTCAGTTTCTTCAAGTATTTTTTTTCTTCAAATATCTGTTGGCTATGTTTGTTCCTTGATGCTAAATATGGTTTGAATCTATCAAAACTTTAAGCATTGAATTTGGAAGTTTTATTGAAGTTCTCAAATCAAATCGAAAAATTGAAATTAAAACACATGATTAGTTTGCTCAGAAACATTTCATAACTCCCAAAGCGTTCTTGTATCTCTGTTTTTTTTGTGAAACGATCAGCCGTCATCAAGAACTCGCGATTGGTTAGTTGTTATAATATTCTTGGAAATTGTATCAAAAATAACTCGAAATATTTCAAAGTGTTTTTTTTGTAGTTTGATATAGCGTTTCGGTGCTTCTTTCAAAACAGCAGCTTGAACGCTATTTTGAACAAATTGATTTTTTTGCTAATTGATCGAGAAACTATCAGAAATAATTGCTTGTACTAGAAGCGCTCAAAAAGTTATCTCCAGAAACTACTTCTTGCGAATTGACTGGAGGTGTCAAAATTAAGTTCAGTTACTAAAAGTCAATGAACGAAAAGCCGATACTTATATAGGTCGAGTTGATTTTTTGGTTTTCTTTCAAACGAAAGTCCTCACGCTGAACTTTGATCTTATGGAGTTTGGCTTCTGATTTAGTTTTAAGCTAAGTTCAAGTTCTTCTGCTATAAAGAAAGGAAATTATGCTCTTAATTACGAATCTGCAGATGGCTCGAAGAACGTGAATGACTTTAGGTTCAAAAGAGGATCTAGTTTTTTGGATTTTGCAGCGGAATAAAAAATTTCTCATTGATTCTGTTTGCTCCATTTAGGTTAGGTTATGTAGTTGCATCGTACTATTACACGAGAGTAGCGTAGTGTGATAGTACGATACAACTTTTTTTCAATCTTAGTTGCGAATAAGTCTCTTTTTTCAATCTAAGTCCCTGCTTTTGGTGGAAATTTTGAATCAGAAGACTGCTTCAGTGGTATAATAACATAAAATGTGCTTTGACATTTGTTTAGTAATAACTTAACACAGTTGATGCTTTTTAAGTTCATCGAATGAAAAGGAAAAATCTTTTTGTTTCATTCAACAGCATAATAATTGAAACCATTTTTCAGAAACCTGCCAACTCGATATGGTTCGCGAGATGTTAGAAATGGGTAATTTATAAGCAATTTGTTTTAATGCAGTTTCGTATTAGATGACAAGTTAGTGTGGTGGCCTTCAGTTTCTTACATTCCAAATTATTACATGCAGAATTTGAGTTTTTGTGCATTTTAAAGCTTTAGTGGATCCAAATCTTTATCGTTTTCTCGCTTCTGTTTGCGAAACTACAGCTTCGCTTCTGTCTAAAAAAATTGTCAATCATACAAGGACCTGAAAGGATGAAGAGCTTAATTGCGAGTTTTCCCTTCAATGTTGTTCGATAGTTTAAAAATGATCAATAAGTCAATATGTTTTATTTCGGTTACCTTTAGTTACAGTACTCTTTGATGATTTCGAGATGCCAAGGTTTCATTGCATGAATAGGTTTCCCGAAGATTTCGAGATGACAAGGTTTCATTGCACGAAGAGGTTTCCCGAAAGCTGAGATTTCTTCAAAAAAAAATTGAAGCAGTTTTTGTTTTCTGTTTACTTGCGTTCTTTAAATCTATTCCAACTATCTATCTGTTGGCTATGTTTCTGTCCTTTCCCTAATATCTCTCCTTCTGTCTCTCACATATTCTCCTTTTCTTTTTTTGCTATCGACACGAGGCTGGTTTCGGGTGAAGGAAATTTGGGTACCTCAATTAGAAAGCGAAAATGGCGCGAAAAGTTAATAAATTGAATTTCATGTTCAAGGTTTTCCAGAGGATTAGAAAAATCAACCAGAGGCCCAGTTGTATCTTATTGACTTAGATTTGTGCAAATGATGACAATCATAAAAAATTTTTAATTTAAGGAGCATTTCAAATAATAAATTAGTCATTCTTATTTCTCGGTTTCCTTGGGTTCATATCAGCACTTTTACAACTATTTGTTGGCTATGTTTGATCTCAATACTAATAGACTGAAGTTAAAGTTATTTGTTTCGTGCTTGTTCGAAGAAAGAGACGGAATATTTGTGCTCGTTTTTTTTTCTTCAGACCAAGTTCGAGTTTTTGAACCACCTGCGAGCTTTTGACGTCCTGATCTCAAATTTGAAAAGCTAATTTGCCCATGAGCATTTTCGTAAAATTATGCGGTTTGAATATTGCTAATTTTGTACAATAATTCAGCTATTTTGTTAGCTGCGATTCAATCCGATTTAAAAAAATTCCAAATTGAATTGGCCCAGGATATATGGTTTTGAAGATCCTATGGAGAAGAACTGATAATTGTCATAGATGGTTTATCTGAATCCTGTGAAAAACACAAGACTGGGCTCTAAATATGGGCTTATAATATTCTCCATCCTCATCGGTCGCTACCTGTGTCTTATTTTTCAGGTCAAAGTGCAAGACTGTGCCATTCTGATGACGTCAGAACAGGATAGCTACAAGATACAACTGAAGGCCAGTCTCACTTCACCGGCAGTTGAGCTGGCAGCACCAGTAGCACAGCAACAGGAACAGAAGACCCACAGTGAGGGGGGATGTTCTAGTGATAATACGACTGGCGATGGAAAGACATCAGCCAATAGCAACTTGCTCAACAAGACCCGATGCTTAGGTAGGTTCCTCTAGAGAATAGACAGAACTGAACAAAATCTGTTGACGTCAATTGTTTGTGGTGTATAAACCAGCCGGAGTATAGGAGTATATAGGAGCTAACAAAGAAACCAGCCAAAAGGGGACCGGTCGTTTAGCAGACAAGTCTTTCAGCATAAAAAGTGAAAAATGAGTCTTTTAGCGGATAAACGTAATAAAGTAATGGATGATTGCTTGACAGACTCAAAAAGACGCTCAGTCTAGGGCCAAGCTTCCCCAATTAAGTCAATTATCTCACGATTTGTCAACAAAACTATCAACTTCAAGAACACAACAGTCTAAATTAGCGGCAAAACAAAGATTTACGCGCACAATAACACTCGTGTTGAATTGAAGCGCAGCGGAGCAAGCGGTCGCTAATCGCCAATGCCGAGTTTGAAGTTAGCTATCACACTTTATAATTGCTAAAAAACCTGTCTGTTAAAAAACCGGTCTGCTAAAATCCCTTGCACCCAGCCAAAAATACATTTTTGTTTTTAAGAGTCAATGAACGTAGTGAAGACTCTTAAATTGGCCGTGATGATTTTTTGTTTCTTTCTTTTCCAGGAAAAAGTCTAAAAATTTGTTCACGCTCAAGTGTGATTTTCCGTGGTTTATTCACTGCGTTTTTTTTTCAAATAAAAGGAAGGCAAACTCCACTATCGAACAGCCAAAGTGTAAAGGTCACGAAAACGTGATCGACTTTTAGTTTTAAAGTGGATTGTAATTTTCACTTTTTCCAAGGGAATAAAATCTTACTTTTTGATCCAGTTTTTTGACATTGATTAACTTCATCAAAAAGTATCAAGCATACATTTTTTTTCTTGTCTTCAAATGCGGAGAGCTTTAAGGCCATATGTTTTTTTTCTTTGAAATCCGAAATTTGGAGCTTTTTCAAAAAACATATATATTTTTTCATTGCGTTATTTGTTATGTTTTCGTTTGTCTGTTGACTATGTTTTTAGTTTAACGTATGATAGTTGGGTCCCTTAAATTAAGATGGGTCCATGAAGAAAATTGTTCGGCCTTAAAAACTTCGAAAACATGGTTTGCACTTGGTTAATTGTGTTTTTGAATTTTTCTCAATCTGCGGGACCCATTTTTCATACTTACTTTTTCGTGGCACCGAACTGTCATATTTAACTTCTCTTGAATTCGCCGCGGAATAAAAAATTTACGTAATTATCCGTTTTTCTCTAAATGGGATAACTTTAAGAATAAAAAGCCAACCTTAAACAATTCTTGAACTTAAAAGCTTCATCCTTGAGTTCTTTTACATTTTTCAATCATCTATTGGCTGTGGTTACTCAAGCGAGTCTTTTTACGAAGTTCTATGGTAATAGATGATTTTGTTGAACAGAAAACTCAATGGATTTAAACTCAGTTTCTGGAACAAATATACCTAATTCAATTCGGTCCTTGCGATCGATAGTTTCCTATGTATTGTACCACACGATTAATGGTGTTGTTGCTGGAGATTGATTGGATTTGTTTTTGTTCAAGATAAAATAAAACATTCATAAAATAAAATAGTTTCATTTCATAGTCATTCGTACCGGCTTTCTTCCCTCTCCCCCTCCCATCACCTCATGTAAGCATCAATTTTTAAGGGTAACGAATAGTTGTAAAAGATAATGTACGGGAAACAAGTATGCTTTAAGTACTTGTTAGTCAGCATGACAATTTCTACGAAAAACAACATTCAATTCCGGCTAGATCTGGAGGATGTTCGAATAAAAGCGATAAATGAAAAAATAACTTATCAATGATCACTTGTGTTTAGCACTGCTGGCTGAGTTGAGGCGTGCCAAGTGGTTCCAGTCAAGAGCGGCCATGGTGCCGTCGTGCGTGATTGTCATGCGCATCCTGAAAGACCTCATGAGGAGAAACTCCAACTGGGGAGGCCATTCTCTTCCCCTTCAGTGGACTATGGAGGTGGTTGTGGAGAATACATTGGGGGCATGCAGTACTCCACTCAGTCCGGGAGATGCCATGAGGTGAGAAGTTATGAGGCGAGACGAGGCCCATTATGATCCGTTCTCGGTGCTTGCAAGGGTGATGCAACATTACCCAGCCCAGAAAAAAAGCAAGAAAATTAGCATGAACTAAGCAGGCACACAACAGCGGTTCTCCGCAAAGAGTTGAACAGATCGTTTCTTAATCCTTTTACTCGTAGTTAATTTGTCTTAACTTAAGCTATGCCGCTGAATGATGGGGGGAGTTAGCTTTTTTTGAAAGAATTATATTTTTGAAAGCCTTATTATTTTGAATGAGTTATGCGACAGCATGTCAATTTCAGACTTATGACCCGTTTCGATGAGCGGAGCACAATGGTTAATCGATTGGCGATGGAAGGCATTTAACGGTGTTCAATGACGCAATTGTAAATGGAGCAAAAAATACGAATGATTTGTTGACTACAATTTTTGTTTTTTAGTCGTACATTTTCCGGTTTTCGTGAGATTTCCCGTAGTAATAGTTTAGTTCCCGTTTTTTGAATCACGTATCTTAAAGTTGTGAGTTTTTCTCATTGGCCAGACTGACTGTGGGTATTTAGGAGAGTGTTGGAGTCGCTAGCAGGGGGTATCCTGTGTGCTCACCCGATCGGAGTGGGTGTGTTGGACCCTTGTGAACCCCATGAGGTAGTGGACTTGACTGAGGGTCTGATGCTACAGAGTAGGGAGGATGTGACTGCAAGTGCACAACAAGCTCTCAGACAAATAGTGTTCAAACAGATACACAAGGTAAACAGAATAGAGCTAGCACAAAAAGCGAGGTTAGAACATCGGCAACGATTGTACTTGAACTTGAATTCATTTACCAGCTGCAGTGAAAAGTTATATAATTTTAATAAACTATAAACTGCCTGGAGGGGCAGTTGTTGATTTTACCTGTAGAACTACATGTATTTTATATAGTAGATTCGACTGGTTCTTCCAGTCCACACTCGTTCGCAATGTGAGTGTGTGATATACATGATCAGATATACTTAGAGCAGGAGTAGATTGACTGACACTTGATAAGTTTTTCCATGTTGGACCAAAATACAAGGAGTTCCATGACGAAAAGTTAAACGTGCAAAAGTCATTACGCCCGAGCTGAGCTAAAGACCTTGATTTTCCGACAAACAGTACGGACCAAAAAACCTACACCTCATATTGCGAAAGGTTGCTAACGAGGACCCAGGTGTTAAACAGAGAGGTCCGGCATCAACAGTTTACTTTAGGCCAAAAAAGAGGATTTTTCTGTCTTTTTAATAATTAGTTGATGTTAATTGATTGATCGTGGATAATTTTCGGTTCCTCTCCTTATACAGAAGTTTGTTTAGTTGCTCGGCATGGAGATGATTCCTGCGCCCACTCCTGCCCAAATAAGGAAACGGAGAATGGACCAAATGGAAATGATCAACAAGGCTCGTGAACAAAACATGAACAAACAATATTCACTGCAGCATCAGCAGCAAAACGAGACCGCCTCTGTCTCGGCAAAAAGAGAAAAACGAGATGATGCGAGTTTAAACGAAAAGGTCGACAAAGTTTTAGAAAAAGCGAATAATTCAACAACGGATTCAAATATGGAGACTAATGACAAAGTTTCACCGCTTAACGAAGAGGTTAAAGGAAATTTAGAGCTTTCGCAAAACAATTCTGATGATAAGGCTGTTAATAGTTTGCCACTGGACATCAATTCTTCATTACCTGCGGGTGCCGTTGATAAAAAGATAGACCCCATGGGCAATAAACATTTCGATGATGCAATCTCAAGATCTGAATTAGGGAAAGAAACTTCCGAAGGTCTGACGGGCAACTCAGAGTTCGACACACCCAACGACCAATACAGTTATTATGAGTCATCAGAACACCCAAATGAGTCCATGGATTTCCATGCGGCACACCATAATGACAACTGGGTGGACCCTGGAGGCGAGGCAGCCTACGAAGCCATGGGCTATGAGGATCCCTATGAATCGTATTACGGACCGTTGCCACAACAAAGAGGCATGGGCTTTGGGTACTCAAACCCTAGGTTTTTTAGACCATGGCGAGGAGGTGGAATGGGAAGAGGAGGCTTCAATAAATATCAGTGGTGAAATGTGAAATGAATCCCGTTCAGTAACGTGCGAAAAACTCGTTGAAATCGTTGAATGAACAATTTGTGTGGTTCAAAATTAGATAATATATTTTGATTGTAATTGAAATGCTTGTTTTGTTCTCAACGCATGGATTAGAAAGTAAAAAGTTCCGTTTAATTGTTTTATGCGTTAAAGAACGAATTGAGTTATAATTCACATATGTCCTTAGTATTTTTTCTGCGTTTTGGTTTTTTTGATTTTTTTCAAATTCATCAACTAAAAAGAGCAGATTACGCTTTACAATAGCATTAGTGCAAAAACATAACTGGTGTTTTTTTCAAAACGTTTTAATTTTAAAATTTTTATTTAAAAAAAGTTACCTTTTAACCCATAATTCTCAAATCGCGTTTAGTTTTATCACAAAAATTATCTATCGCAGCAGTTTCTTTAAATACAAATAGCTCTAACTTGATCTATTTTGGGTTCTTTTACTGTCCTCCTTTATCTGAAGCATGAATTTTGCACGAAAAACATTGATTTTACACATGCGAAAGCAAGTTTCCTGTAATCGAGACAACTTTTCTTAAAGATACGCGACAAAGTGAATTTGCGTTTTTAAGTGAACCTGAGCAACATCGAGACTCCTTTCCAATTGGCCGAGAGGTTAGGCGGAAGCCTTTGTGCCCTAAGCTTTGGGTTTCGATTCCCGGCCGGACCGTGTGTTTTTTTAGTATGAATAAAACTGAAAATAAATTTTCCGGGAAAAAATGAATTTTCGGACTTTTGTTTGTCTGCTCATGTTTTTGCGGCTTAGTTGCCACATCGGAGGCTTTTCTTGTGCTGACAGCAATTTTCATCGTAGATGAATCTGTACTTGATTTACTCCTGTTTTTTGGAAATTCAATAGCTGTGACTTTTTACATTTTCCGCGGTTGATTTTCCTATTTGATTTTTTTTAGCTCAAAATTTTTTTTCAGTCTTATTGGTATCGGCTTAGTATTTTTTGTGTCGCTTCAAGGGCAGAATATGATTTATTTGTTTGAGTTTTTTATGTTGCAATATTTCGAAGTTATGAAGCTTAATTGCTCGTTTTTTTTAAAATCAAGGATTAGTGGAAGTTTAGTAAATATTAAAAGTTTATTTAGTACTAGTGGTTTTTTCTGATATTATTTTTTTATTTTGTATTTTTTTGAATTTTAGTTCAGACTCTTATTTATGTCGCAATGATTTTTTTTCATGAAAATTCTTAAAATTTCCTCAAGCTCAAACTTATTTTTTCACGGTTGGACTTTTGATTTTTTATAAGTTTAGTTCATTTCTTTTCTTAAAACTATCGAACAGCAAAATTGTAAAGGTTGCAAAAAACGTGATTGAATTCTAGTTTCGATGGGTGAATTAGGTTTTCAGTTTTCGCAGTGATATAAAACTGTTACCTATGCGGGGTAGCTAAACCTAGTCCTATAATCCTGGTAAAGTTAATGTTGCTGCTGTCTCCGTCAAACAGTAGATTTTTTTCTGATTCTGGTCATTTCTTTTAGGTCAGTGTCCTGTTGGCTGGTTGATTTGTCGTTAGTAGTCGTGTACACAAGGAGGATGATCAAATCTTCGTGGTTGCAAAAAGTGTGACTGACTATCGTTATACTGTGGTTGAGTGTTGTCATCCATGATAAGATCATTATGAAATTTATCAATTTTGAGTAGGTGCCGGAAGTACTACAGTCATTCCATTTTTTTTGATTTGAAGCGTTCAATTTTGGCTCATGGAAGAATGCTTGCTCATTTTTGTCGGTAATCTTCCCTTAATTTCTTCGATTCGGCAAAATCCATGATCTTCTCGATTGCTGTTGGTACAGTGCTGTCAGGTAGAGCAAAAAAAGTATGGGCACGGGAGTTTTTGTTGTACTTTCTAGTTTAATCGTCGTGTGATAATGGGGGGATTCAATGCGTCAACGAGGCCACAATCATCGCGGAGCAAATTCTTCTAGTATCAATACTGGCTGTCCGATAGCTATCGTTAGGTGTCGTCGGCAAAGTCGTCCTTCAAGGGATTGAAGGTGTCGTCGGTCAAATTCTTGCTACCAATGATAGCAATTAATGAATTATTTAGGCTTTGGATGAGGCCTTCCCATACGCCTCCAAAGTGAGGCGTGTTGGTTGGTTTGAAATTTTAATGATTTCGCGAGTTTCCGAAAAACTCATGAACAACAGTTGAGTAGAAAGTTTTGGAGAGCTCCTTTTCGGCTGCCTTGAAGTTCGTTCCGTTTTCAAAACAAAGGGTTTTAAGGGTTTTCTGTTCTTGTAAAAGTGCTGCTAGGGTTGGGTCGGTATAGATCTTGACACATGTTAAGGTGCCATGCAGATGTTGTTATGCAGGTCAAAATTAGTTCAGATCGCTAGCGGTAAACATTGGCTGTCACGGATGTGAAAAGTCCAGAAACATTCAGCCCGGTATTTTCGAAGGGAAGGGTTTCTCAAATGCAAAACGAGTTTGTTAAGGCTGCCATTTCAGAGTACCATAAGCTAATTTTTCGATTTTGTACATCGCATGTAAAACCCTAAAGTCGGCTTGAAAGGCGGTTTTGGTGTGCTCTGGTGGTATAGGTTGGCTGGTGAAATTCATTTTTCCAATCATAAGCTTAAAAACTGCATGTTTTTCATCGAAAAAGATTGTGTATTTAGAGCGAAAATCAAGTCGTAGTTTTTGTAGGCATCCACTAACTCGAATAAATCACTTGACGTCAAGGTACAAAGGTTGAATGCGGCTGCCTGTAGTTTTCAAATACTTCTGAGGGTGACGCATTCGTTGCGGAAGCGTTCAACTCACATTGTATAAGAAGAAACTATTTGGCGTTCTTTATGTAATCTGACTTCAAGATGTCGTTTCGATCTCTATGAGTTCGAAAACTGCTGCTAGTACGGCTGCGGCAAGGTAACAATGTCTTGAGAATCAAAGCAGTTGCTAAAAGCAATCTGTTTGTTTTTCGTAATCTTCTCAGTGGAATACACGAACTGTCAGAATTACAAGTGCTAGATTGATCGATGGAAGACTCGGTGAGAGTTCTCATCTGCATCATCCGTAGCTGAGGGAGAAAAACTGACTTCAGAAGATGCAGTTCTGGACCTTTGTTGCTTGGCGTGGCCTGGGCCATTGCTGGCCTGACGCTAGGCGCGAATTCGGTTAAGGGAATTCCTCGGGTTTCGTCTGCAAGTTTAAGGTTTCACGGGCAGTGTTTCCATTGAGATATTGGCTACAAATAGACAGTTGTCTTTTTTCAGGTACATGTTTCCATTGTAGAACTGTTCTGCTGGCAGTTCATAAATAGTTTTCGTTACTGAGTCGCTAATAAAACTTGGAGCTTCGTAAGTCTGGCTCCTAACAAGGCTGCTTGTTCAAGTTTCGTTATCATATGGTAATTCAACGGTGTAACTTTCGCTTTTCCTAGGGGACAATAGAAATAGTTCACTGAGTTGCGATTTCTTAAGTACACAAACAAATAAATCTTAGTTGAAATCTTAAAATACAAGAAACCAATGTCATCAATCGTAGTGAGAATTGGAGAATGGAGGCTTAAATAACCCTGCGTACAGAAAACGTACGTTAACTGTATCAGATAAGTGCAAGAGAAAATTTTGTACACATTGCAAACTTTAAAAGAGCCATATTTGAATCTAAATTTAAGGAAAGCTGAAATATGAAGAATTTATTTAACATTGTTTTTTGACCTCACGAATTTTTTTTTCTTCCAAAAGTGCATGATGAGTCTGTTTTCCTATGCATCATTTGCTTAGAGTAAATTAGGGTTCTGAACAAACATTCAGTGTGTATGTAAGGCCGTTGTAGTCTAACTATGTAAGTCAAGGTCGGCAGTGAACGGAATAATTGCTTTTTCGGTCATGTGATTTTTTTAACATGAATTCTTTTTTATTGCTCCGATCACGTCACCTTAATGACAAAAATCAACTAGTGAACAAACAAGAATTAGCTAGTTTTCATTCGGTGTAGTTTAAGCTACGTCGACGAGTTATATCACGTGATCAAGTGTGGCATTATATTACAACTCATTAGTTGTAAATCGTCTTCCCAAAAAGAACTTAACAATTTGTCTTACTGCACAAGAAATCAGTTGTGATATCACAAGAAAAAACCATTTGCATTACACTCAAATTCTCTCGTCAAGATTTATCAAATTGGCTGAAGAACAATTTAGACTCAGTAAGAGCAACCGGATGCATTTTTTTTTTCAATTTTCTGGCTTTAGACTTTATTGTCCGGCCACTGATTTTGCATTCGAGTCGGTTTTTTTTGTCCAACCAGTGTCTACATCAAAAAAAATCGTTTGGGTCAAGTGTGATATCATATTTAAGTAATTTTCAGCCAGTCCTTGTGTGTCTGTTGTATAACCACTTATTCTTTTTTCACCTCACCCCACTTTTCACAGCTTTCAAAAAACTCTTTAGGGGATTTTTTACCCACTATTTTTGAATTTTTGTATTCGCAAAACAATTTCACACCTAAATACGAAAAATTTGGTTTAACAGGTAGAAAGGCTCTTGGGAAGCTGTTTTACATAAGTGGTTACGCTCAAATTATTCACACTAAGTTTTATGGCCATCGTAATAGTCAAACTGTCGATTTTTTTCACCGCTTTGTCAAACTTTTTAACTTTTCTAGGTGGAGTTGATAAAGAGTCGATAAACGTAGCTCGGACTCATATATAGGTTGGGATGATTTTTTGTTTTTAAAATTTTTGTTTCTTGAAATTTAAGCATTTTGAGTTTTGTTTTTTATTTTTAAATTCAGTTCACTTCTTTTGTTAAAGGTTCTGTGGTAGTCATGATTAAATACACCTACAAGATAACTTCAAAAGAGTCGAGAAAGGAATATTGAAATTCGTACCTTGCTAGATTCGGCGGGATCTTTGTTTCGGGGAGCTAATAGATGACCACATCCGAAACACCCTCGTATCAAAAAAACCTTCGTGATCAAAAACTATTTAAAATTTAAAGTTTCTCTTCTACCGGAGCTCTCTCAATAGTTTTAACTGCACGAGAAATCATTTTTGATATCAACAGAAAATATTATTTGCATTAGACCCGAATTTTCTCGTCAAAATTCTTCAAATTGATTGAAAAACATTTTAGGCTCGATAAAAGCAACCGGATGAAATGTTTCTTTTTTTCCAATTTACTGGCTTGAGACTTTATTGTCCGACCACTGATTTTGGATTTGGTTCAGTTTTTTGTCCAGCCAGTTTGTCTATTTCAAAGAAAGCTCCTTTGGGGTCAAGTATGGTATCATATCTAAGTAATTTTGATAGTGCGCTGAATTCTAAAGTCAAAAAAGTGAAGCGTTCTTTCAGTGCCGAGAAAACCTGGTCTGAAATTCTCGGTTGGCGGACTATTTAAGACAAGTTAGATGAAAATAGACAAAAACGGCTGAAATCGCAGTTCCATTTGGATAAGGTTTCAACGTTAATTTAGCTAATAGTTGTTCCATTTCGTCGTTTTTCTTTCCCATACTTTTTAGTCATACTTTACTAAAAAGAGTGAATGAATTACGTAAATTTTTTGTGTGAATTACGATTTTTTGATTTCTTTTTCTTTAAAACTTCTTCTTTACTGTTGATTTTTTTAATATTTAAATTGTTTTTCTGTTAAAAATATTCAAGTAACCAATAAAACCCCTTTCAACTACAATTCGGAATAAAGACTTTTTTCGGGATAGCAACTTGTTTAACAGAATCACTTAGATCACTTGGTATCTTGCCTGATAATGAAATAAAATTTCGAAGCGTCTTCGGCACACTTAGCCCGGAAGTTTTGATTAAACACGGTGCGCGAAAAATCCTTGGTTCAAATCTCACCAGGACCTGTTTTTTTTTAAACCGGAAGTATTCCGTTTCAAACAATTGTCAGCGTATTATTTCTCTGCTTGTATTGACGGGTTAGTTACCATATCTCAGAATTTTTTTTGCTGTAAGCAGTTTCATTGTAATTGCTTGTTAAGAGTAATTAATATTGTGGAGACTGTTAAATAAGTTTCGGTGTTTTTTTTCTCCATTTTTTCAGGAAAAAGTCTTAAAATTTGTTAACGCTCAGTTTTGATTTTTCGCGATTTGGCTTGTAATTTGTTTGAAGTTCAATCCAGTGCATTTACATTGTTAAAAGGAAAACAAACTCCACTCTCGGACAGCAAAAGTGTTAAGGTGACGAACGAAAACGTGATCGACTTCTAGTTTCGAAAATGGAATTTATTAATCAGATTTCCCAGCGAAATATAATCTTTACATATTGATCCAGTTTTCTCAAATTGGTTGAATATCATGAAAAAACTTGTCAAGAATAAATTGTATTAAAAACTCAAAGTGGTTCAAAGTCATCTTTTTTTTCAAATCTGTTTTTCTGTTTCTTTGGGTTCATAACTCTTGTGTTTATGTTTTAGTTTACTCCTGCAATTTTTATTTCTACTAAACTTGACTTTGTATATTTTCATTTTTTAAATTTTTTGCTGAACAAATTTTTTCGGCCTAAATGATTTCGGCTGATATTTTATCGGCTTACTAATCTAATTGTGGGTCGTTTGCAGGAATCATAACTTTTATGTTTTTCTCTGGATCGCACAAAACGTTAAAAATCCGCCAATAGAAACCATAGTTCAAAACTCTCACGACAACATTTTTGTTTTTGCTCAAAAAATAGATTTGAATTTTCAATAAACGCCTTCGAATGTGTTTCTAGACGTTTTCCGCAAACAGAACCTCATTTCAGACAATATTTGAAGCTTTTTAGTTTATATTTTTGAAAAATTTTCCTTTTTTTGATTTAGTTGCTTCCTTATGTTTCCTGTCTGATAGCTTACAATGCTACTTTTGCGAAGCTACCCGTTGCCTCTGAGATGAAAAAATGTTTATTTCAGATTTTTTTAATTTAATTTTGGTTCAAATTTTCCTTGGCTGGTTTTCCGTTTTTTTTCTAATTGCAATTTATATTCACTAGAGTGGTTTTCAGTTAACTTCTTTCCAAAACTTGAACTTTTTCATAGAAACTTTGATTTATAGGCTGGGTTTGTTAAATTAAAATTACCGTCGAAGATATGAAAATGAGTCAATTGATATGCTCATGTGGCATGCTATAGCTCTCCTTAGATCGAAATTCAAAATTGAGATTTAAAATTGAGTCCACCGCCAAGTTTCAACGCCAAAAGTCAACAACCGCCAAATATTTTTGCTGAAAGTCAAGTAATTTCAGTTGCGACTCATTTTGATTTCAGACCAAGTAACTTATACTAAGCTAATATCTCAGCAACCAACAACCATGATTATCTCCAAGTTTTCTTTTCTAGTTTTTCTGATCAATGTCTGTATGGTGAGCCTTTGGGCATCAGAACAAAATGGAAGAAGAGTATGTGATGGATGTGTTCCAAACAGCAAGCGAGACTTCTTCGTGAAAGTGGATGTCCACTACAGAAACCATACGTTCAATACAAATGATCAAGCGCGCTGTGGTGGCACAATCATTTCAAGACACACTGTGATCACGGCTGCCCATTGTGTTGTTATAAAAGACTCTACTGTTGTCAGAAACTTTATTTTCAGCTCCTTTTAAGTTTTTAACCATTTTAAACGTGACTTTTTTCGGCTTTTTTCCAGTTTACCCCTTTCAAATTCAATTTTGAAAAGTTTACTTAACGTCGTCATAATTCAATGAAATTCGGCGTGGTGATCAAATCGACAACTTTGAACACTTTTTTTCTTCATAATTTACGTCGTAACTTCACGCATTTAGCCGTAATAACATAAAAAAAACATAAAACTTAGAGATTTTGAAAGGTGGGGTGGGGAAGTGGAAACGAGCCCTTTTTTCCACGGCATTGCAAATTTCTCCCCAGCATACTGTAAAATGAGGAAAGCAATTACGATAATATACAGGTTTTGGTTTTTGAAATGGGTCGCCTTGGAAAAAATTTTTTCACCATTCAAAAATTTTAATAATTCTCAAAAACTACATTTAACGATTCTCATAAAATGATTTTAATAGAAAAATTGATAACTCCCAAGTGTGCTTGCATGTACCCCAAGTTTGCATGTACCTTGGAAAAGACCTTAGAAAAAGCTCTTTTCCAAGGTTATTGCAACCACCCCTCTCGGTAAAATACAAAAGGCTCAATCGAAATAACATTTTGCTTAAACTTAAAGTTCAATCGAAATAACATTTTGCATGGAACTTCACTGCGTACATGGCCACGACCATAGTTGAAAAAAATAAGTTATAGCCCTCGAAACTTTGGAGTTGTTGACCTGAAATTGTTTTGGAAAATTTTTGACTTTTATCGATAACTATCCTGTCAAACCTGATATCAAGGGTTCAGTAGAAAGAAACAGGTTACTAGAATTCTCCCTGCTTAAGCGACTAGACCAATTTTTTGTAGAAAAAGCTCTTTTCCAAGGTTATTGCAACCACCCCTTTCGGTAAACTACAAACGTAAATATAAAAAAATTGTTCATAAAGCAACTTGCATGTAGAAAAAAAGAATTTGTCATGGATCTTAATCACTTGTTCTTGCTGACAAGTTTTATTACAGTTTAGAACATCGACGAAAGCAACTTTTATTAAAACTTCGTATATTGAGTTTTGAAAAAAATAAAAAGTGGGACTGGAAAAGAGCCGAAACAATTTTTCTCCTGTGGGGCAAAAGTGGGACTGTTTCAATTTCAAATAATTGAAACAAATGAAACCGTTTTGACTACTTCGGAATTTTTAAATCAGAAATCCGGTTTTAGGAATTGTTTCTGCCTAAGCGGCCATGACCTCTGCTTAAGCGGCTATAATTTTTCTTTGCATCATTAGCTCCAACTAAAGATCATTAGATGTACATAGGGATCATTGGTTAAACATAGAGATCATTGATTACACGTGGAGATCATTAGTTATACATAAGATTTATAGTTTTACACTGTGCTCATAAGTTATACACAGGGATCACTAGTTGTTCAGGGATCATTGGTTGTGCGCAAAGATTGTTTTTTTTCACATAGTGATCTTCAGGGATCAATATTTGTACACAGGGTTATTATCTATACATAGGGATCATTGGTCATACATGGAGATCATCAGTTAGACATAGGGATCATTAGTCATACGTCATTTATTTTACGTAGGAAACATTAGTTATGCAGAGGGATCATTGGTCATACGCAAGGATCATTAGATATACGTAGGGAGAATTAGGTGTACACAGGGATCATTGGCTACACATTAGGATCATTAGGGATCCCTAATTGTACATAGAGATCATTGCTTATACGCAAGGATCATTTGCTATACGTAGGAATCATTAGGTGTACATAGGGATCATTGGCTATACATTAGGATCATAAGGGATGCGTAGCTGTACATAGGGATCATTAGATGTACATAGGGATCATTGATTAAAGATAGAGATCATTGGTTATACGTGAAGATCATTTGTTATGCTTAGCATTAATAGTTTTACACTGTGATCATAAGTTATAGACAGGGATCATTAGTTGTACAGGGATCGTTGGTAATACATAGAGATCAATTGTTTTACATAAGGATCACTAATTGTTTATAGGGATCATTGGTTATGCGCAAATATTTTCACATAGTGATCGTTATTTTCGTTATTTTCACATAGTGATCACTGTAGATCAGTTTCTGTACACAGGATCTTTATTTATTCATAGGGATCATTGGTCATACATGGAGATCATTAGTTAGACATAGGGATAATTAGACATACGTCATTTATTTTACATAGGGATCATTAGTTATGCAGAGGGATCATTGATTATACGTAAGGATCTTTAGCTATACGTAGGGAGTATTAGGTGTACATAAGGATCATTGGCTATACATTAGGATTATTTGGGATCTTAGTTGTACATAGGGATCATTGGTTATACATAGGGATCACTATTCATACATAGGGATCATTGGATATACAAAGGGATCACTATTTTTACTTAGGGATCATTAGGTATAAATTTTCTAGATAGGGATCATTAGATTGTATGTTTGTTTTACGTTTTATTATGGTTAAATGCGTGATGTTACGCTGTGACGTTTGAGGAACAAATTTTTTCACAATTGTCGATTTGTTCACCACGCCAAATTTCATTGCCTTATGACAACGTTAAAACGACTTTTTAAAATTGAATTTGAAAGGGGGGACTGGAAAAGAGCCGCTTTGTTTAATAGAAACGGGTATTTTTGAAAATTAATGGGATTTGATTTTTAATTTTTTTTGTAAATTTCAGTCTCATTTTAGCACCTCCAATAAATTTTAGCCCCTTGATCAAATTACGCGGGAAAGTAATTTAACTTGCACAGTCAAACAGCATGTGTATTTTTGATTTTAATGCATAACTAGTAACTCTATTCAACGCTAGAAGTTAGTTCAATCCTTAAAATATATGAAAGTCTGTTCAAAATGACTTTTCTGGTTATAAACTGAATTGAAACGTGCATGAACAGGTGAACAAATATTTAGATTTCCTCCATGCAACGATTTTTGAACAGCTTTGCTTTTGTTTTTTTTCGAGGGGGGAAAACTAACAATGAGCTTAAATGTAGATGCTCTTTTGTATGGTTGCACTTTAGATAGAAAACACAACAAGTCTGTTGAAGTCAAATGAAAAATGGTGGTGCTATAATTTTTGAATTCTAGGCTGCAGAGGCAATAATGGGAAAGACCGCTTTATCAGACGGCTTGGAAAAAAAGTTGAATTTTTTCAAAGTTTCAGTTTTCTTAAAACATACCTTGCTGATTTCCGTACTCCTACTTCTACAGCCGTCGAAAATTTCTGTTTCTGGGGTAATGTTTGTCATCTTTTTTTGGAAATTTCGTGATTTGTCTCAAAGACTGAAAAAACTAATCTGAAGTTAATGGGTCGTTCAGAGCAGATCAAATTAACCTGTCAATCGCATTTTTCCGTTAGGTGCGGCTACTTCCTTGTTTTTGTACTAAAATATTTAGTCCTAATATACCCTATCAAATGTGAGTTCAAAAAACGGCCATTTGCTAAACGTCCCTGCAGAAGTGACTCGGCTGCTAAGGGTCTAAGGGTTCAGCTGGAAAACAGGTTGTGGTTACCTTGGCTCTTTTCCAGCTCCCCTCTTTCAAAATACCGAGTTTTATATTTGTTTTACGTGTTATTACGGCTAAATGCGTAATGTTACGCTGTAAAGTATGAAGAACAAATCTGTTCAGAATCGTTGATTTGTTCATCACGCCAAATTTTATTGCATTGTGACAACGTTAAAAAGACTTTTCAAAATTGAATGTCCTTAAACGGTTACACCTTATTTTTTTTCTAATAGAAAACCGGCTTGGCCTTAGAAAAAGCAATAGTTTTTCGGAAGGTATTTTTTCAAAAAAAACTAGTTCGCCAATTGTGATTTCAAAGGTTCAAATAACAATTATGTTGCAAACAATCTTTTTTTTGTAGAAAAGGCGGTAGGGCCTGAAGAAAAAATCCTTTAGCAAAAATTTTAACGTTTTTCGGAAAACTTTCTAGTTTCTAAATCTGTTAATTTTGATACTGAGTGTTTTTACCTCGGCAGCTCTGGTGTAGGTAGATCGAGTTGTAGTTGTCGGAAATTTTGGTTTCCTTAAAAACTCGTGCTCAATTGTTTTTTTTTCAATCCTTTTATTCGAAAAATAAGGACAAAATTTGGTGTTTTTAATTCGAATCACAACCTTGAACATCAGTGTTAAATCGGATTTAGTAACACCAATCAGCATAATAAGCGACCATAGTCTGGTTAACATTAAACAGAATCATCTAAAATCATATATGACATAGTTATCAAAACGTATTTTGGTAATTTTTAATAAAAGTCCTTAGCTTAATTTCTTGCCCGTAAATCTAGCGAGTACATCCTTGGTTCCCGACGGAGCAAAAAGTGGAGCAATATATAGTTTAAGGGTCGATCGAAGAACATTTGTTTACAACAGAGAATAAGTTGTTCTCATGACCTATGGTGGTGCGGAGCTGCCGACGGATTGAATTTTTTTATTAGATCTTATTCTAAATCTTTGCTTGCATATTGCAGCACTGAATACGGAGAACGAGTTCGTGCCCTTATGAGACCAACTGAATGACGGAATTCCGCGACAAGCACTGAAACCTTCTATCGCCATTAGACAAGAGCGTGTACCCACTAAGGAAACACTCTCAAAGACTTACACCTGATTATGAAGCGCCTAGTTTCCCTGAGTTTCTTCGGATTGAGAAATAGAAGGATCTAAAGTAATTTACGCCGCAATTCACGAAGGGCGGCTGACGGCAAACAGGCTAAAATTTTGAGAGAAGCCAGTTATCTCAAAAACTTCTACATTCGGTATGAAGGGCCAGTCCTTGCAATTAAAAAACTGGGACCATTCACCCAACTGCTGATTTTCAAAAAATCGGCAGAGATTTCTCTTCTTTCAGTGTCGGCAAGATTGTCTCCACACAAGGCGTTGAACCACTGATCAACAGTCGTATTTTCCAGAATACCTCCAATCTTATTTGCCACGAAGTTAGTTTACTTTCTGTGCGATTTCAAGC